CCTAATAAAGAAGAATAGACACGAATATCTGGGGAAATGAGGGGGATTCGGATATGTGTACCAAGTCGGCTGAGGAATTGCGGCAAACAGAGGGAGAGAAGGGGGAAAGGTAGACAAGGTGATGTGATAACGGCGGGCCGAACTGACTAAAAAGGATACAGTTATAGGCGAGTAGAATATAAAACAGTCAGGAGTTATGATAGAGACAGAAAAAGATACAAGGATAAGGAGTAGGTAGATGTACCAGGATAGGAGGAGTGGCACACAACCGTTTGGCATAAACAGAAGGTATGAATTCGTATGTGAGTAGGGTTTCGAGACTACCCTGTGTCTGGGTGAATAATTCGCGGCGCAAGCCTCTGAGTGTCATGGTCACCCATTTGCTACATGGACCAGAAGGAGAGATACCACAACTATTTAGCACACGTTTGGTCAAAGGATCGGCTTCACTTTTCTCTTTGACGAATTGTAGTGCGATGCTAAGAATAACATGACTCACTGACGATGCCGGCGAAACGTCTGGGAATGTACCACATCCACAGTCCGACTTTGAAATGATCATGCATACATTGGACTCCGGACTAGGTTCGTTCCTCTTGGTCTTCCTACCAATATGACCAAGTTGCGAAAACTAGGTCTAACAACGTTCGGCATATTGTTTCTCAAGAGGTTGACTTAATTTGTATCTTTAAAGAATGATAGCTTAGTTCTAATAATGACCAGACTCATTGATGCTTTTAACTACGATTATGGCTAAAGGTTTGGGAGTTTTTCATGTTCACAACTTCACACCAAAAATCATCATCTACATTATGACAGGGATTCCAGACAAGGTGCCTTCAGCCAGATTTACCTAGCAATACGATCAACTTACTAAGATGAGAGCAAATCACTTCCATACAGAGAATGTAGATAGCGACGAAATTAGAGGCAACAGCTCATGTGTCGTCATAGCTACGATATAGTAATTTAAATATCGATTTTTATGTTTTCTTTAACCCTATCTATTTTAATTTAGTCAAAGACACCTCGTCATCAAAAGAAAAAATAGAATATTTGGCAGCCTTTAATCTGCATTATCAATATTTATATGTTTCATGTTCCAACTAGACTGAACGGAATTGGGGTAGGATATGTTCAAAGGTGAATATGCAATTCCTTCTACCACGAAGCTCTAGCACCTCCAGTTTAGACGGCAATATGTTTTTTTTTGAAAATCCGGCTCTATAACTTCAAATGGCCAATGATATACTTTCTCTCCCAAATGAGATCTCTTGCTAGTTTTGACACAGGACAATAACTCGCAACAGTTTCCTAGCCAAAACATTAACACCGGAGATAAGTAGAGAAGTTCTTTCTACACTTAGAGCTAAGTTTAACTTTACTCGTGCGTCCTGATTCGACTCCATCTAGGCCTTGGTGAGCCCTAAATAGATCCATAATAAAGCTATAAGAGGCAGGAGCTCTTGATCCGTCGAATAGAGATAGTTTCAATTCCTGCGTTGGAAGCGTAATGATCAGGTCCTATTGTTTAGCAAAATAAGACAAAAGTCTAAAGGACATCGAGACTAGCATCGCTTTATAACGTTTTTAATATTAATGAAACTTTATACTTGCTCTTTTTTCCGAGCTTTAATCTTAAGAAAATTTAAACATTTGCTATTTAGCAAATGTGAATTCTGAATAAATCACCGAAGGGATAGGAGGAAGAATAGAATTACTTGGCGTGGTCATGTTCTTTCATCACTTCATTCTGAGAAACTAGATACATCCGATCTCTCTTATATATGCTCTGGTGGTAATTTCACAATCCTATGCATAAATAAAAAAATAAACTACAACATGCTTACGGGCAATTCAGGGTAAAGAGGGTGATAAATTAGGAGCTCATCTTCCTTTAATCATTGCCAGTGACATTACGGCAGTAGCATAAGGCGGGGAGAGTAAGCGAATCGAGAAGGGAGAAAGAGAGAAAGGCTAAGGCAGAAAGTAAGGTAGGGATGAAGAATAAAATCAAGGTTCCCACCCGTCTTGGAGCCAAGATGGAGCTGACTGAGGGGTTTTAGTGACTCTGTTTATCTTTTCTCACTACATCGGTTTCAACTCAATACCCTCTCCTTTCACTGACCTCCAAACGTAAAGAATAGGGAAGGTCAACTGACATCGAAGGTCATCAGGTTACACCTTTCACTCACTGATCACCCCTGAGTCACACAGCCACAGTCTCCTTTCCCTTGCCTGACTCATGCAATCTACTAGTAAAATATTATCTCCGCCTCAGCTGACATAAAGCAAGGTCAATATCGCAACCCCAATCATGACTTTACCTCCACAGCCGGCAAAGTACTTTAGGAGGGATCCCTGAGGGACCTGACTTCCATGGTACGGCAACTTTGCCTTGTCTTAGTCACCTCAACCTCAGCTCGCCTTATCTGCTTATCTCCTGTTGATTGTTTTGGTACTTGATTCTCCAAACACCAGGATGCCTGAAAATCTACGGCTTAAGGACTGGCTAGGCCTCATGACTCAGTCATCTGAAGACGCTCTGCCTCTCTTTTACAGTTTTAATTCAGTAAAAATTTCCACATACGGCACATATGCTACATTTTATTCGGTTTTCTTAAGCTACAGGTTCGGTTATTACCACCGAAGCTAGGCCTTCTCTTCATTTGCCTACGTGCTTTGTAAGTAGGTTTTCGAGACTACCAGTAAAGCAGGTAGATGAGATGAGTTTATCCTATTTAATTTGGGGCTATAAAGGACTGGTAGTTGAATTTTCCCACATTTATATAAGTATACCCTACGTTTTCATTGGATAATAATACCTTTTGGGAAACAAGGCTATGCAAAGTGAAATGGAAAAGTGAGATCTATTCATATCATCGTGGGAAAATTTACCTACCAGTCTTTAATCACCCTAAACGAAAAAAGATGAGCTCATCTCATATATTTGCTTTACACGCCAATGATACAGGATACCATAGCATTTGGGAGGGCGTTTGGAAGTTGGGACAAAAACGATTATATGACTATCTGTAGGTAATGCTTAAGCTGACAGGACTGCACTTTATTTGGATTGTCTGCGAGAAGCCGCAGCCAGACAAAGTAGGAAAATTCGACGAGATACGAAGATTACGTTGGCAGAAAGGATGGTAAAGATAATGGGAGAATTAACCTCGACTTGTCACTCACTCATTAATTTGCGAGCGTTCTCGTTTAGCTCGTCGTGCCAGACTCGAAGTTTGTCCTGTAGCCACCATCGGTTGATTTCCTTCGGATGGTCTCTGGCGCCTCTTCTCATCTTGGTTCGTCGCGGCATCTTTCTCCTCTTCCCTCCTCTCCACTTCATTCGGCTCCATTGCAGTCTTGCTTCTGGGCCTGCGAGGGCAGGTTTGGAAGAGGCTCGAGCCTAGGTCGGAATGCGAATTTAGGCCCGGCTGTAAACCTGTGTCTGCTTGGAGGCTAAATGCTGGCGTCTATATGGGCGGGTAGGTTTGATATGAGGCGGCAATAAGGGAGCAAATAGGGTTATTACGAGACAGAGGAAATAAGTCCCATTTATAGCTTGTGGAAGAAGATAAGAAGAAAAAAAAAGTTCTTGTGAGACTTTCATTTAGTATGAAAATGCATGAAGAAGAGATTCACTCTGCTCTAGCACGCTAACAAACACATACATACACACACATGCACACGCACATTCGAGTAAAGGTAGCTTGACCAATATGAAAGATAATTAATCAAACAATTCTATATTTATTTGTGTCCATTCCTTTTCATCTTCTAGTTACGAAAGAGGTAAGATAGAGCTCGATAGTCTTCTTTACCAAGTAATAACGTGAGACTTTTGCATTAATGAGTTCCAGCTACGAGAGTGTCCATCACATGATGAATGAAAGCTTAGCCCATTTTCACACAAGGAGAGGAATGATGTCTCGTAGACTCTTTCAACCTAAACGACGTATCAAATCCAAACGGTTATAGTATAATGAGAATCAGCCGTCACCTTCTGATGATATCGAACTTCGAATCTCTTCTTCATGCACTTTCATATAAAATTAAAGTCTCCCTAACAATGTTGTCTCGGGAGAATAATCGAAATCCAGTTACTCTTCGTATCTTAAAAAAAACCAAAGACAGAGGAGAATGAGGATAAAACGAGTCAAATTCTCATAACATTTTTTACTGTAAGGAAAGCCTCGAACATTTGGTTGAACATTCACTAAATTGTCGACGTTGGGTTCCGGCACAAACCGCAAACGTACGAGCTGGAAATAGGCCATAGGGTGAAGATGATTCCTTAATCACGGAACTAGAAATTTCTGTAGCGTCTGATATTTCTACCGTTCTAACATCAGATAGTTCTTTGTTTTCTAGCTGTTCAATTGAACCCGATTCAACAGGTAGCTTTCAATCAGAACTCGAGGCAACTGAGTCCGTTTCAGGTGCAGTAAAAACGGGTAGTTGGAATTTTCACACAGAATTAAATAGAAGGCTTCATGATGTCATTAAATGTCATTCATAATTGTCTCTTATCAGGTCTATTCATCCATTTTACGACCGCGACCATGTTTTGAACAATGCTTTGGGTGAATATGAGGCACGGGCGAGGTCGAACTTGCAATCCAGACTTTTGTGAGGCGAGATCGGGTGGAGATCGCTGTAGATACGAAGAAATATTGGTTTTCAAGGAACCCCTCGGTTCACACTTGCTGTGATCACTTTTATTTCGAATGAAACTGTGCAATGAAAAGAATTCTATGCCTATCCTGTCGTGTGAAAACAGCTATCCTTCGAACTTACTGTTTGGCACTGTCCTCCGGATAATTTCCCTCGGTTCGTTTGTTATATGACAGACATCATCAGAGCAAGGTAGCATTCCTTTAACTAACTCACCGAAATTCCTCAGCCTATCCCTACATGTTCCATATGCACTTTAGATCTATGAATCGTTGTGAGGTATAGGGC